GAGCCGAGATTGCGCCATTGCACTCCAGCCTGGGTAACAAGAGCGAAACTCCGTCTCAAAAAAAAAAAGAAAAAAAAAAGAAATAAGTGATAATAATTGCATAACATATCAACAATTGTGAGATGCAGCTAAGTCAGTACTTAGAAGAAACTTTGTCTTTAAATGCTTACGTTAGAAAGATAAATATTTAAAACCAATAATTTAAGCTTCTACTTTAAGAAGCTAGATCAAGAAGAGAAAGATAAACTAAGAGTAAATAGAACAAAGAAAAGAATAAAGAATGGAAATCAATGAATATAAAGGAGAAAACCCAATAATACAAAAATCAGTTTTCAAAAATTTGAGACAGGATATTTTTCTGTCATTCAGGCTGGAATGCAGTGGTGTAAGCATGGCTCACTGCAGCCTCAACCTCTTGGGGTCAGGAGATCTTCCCACCTCAGTCTTCCAGGTAGCTGGGACTGCAGGCGTACACCACCATGCCTGGCTAATTATTTTTATTTTTTGTAGAGTCAGGGTTTCTCTGTGTTGCCCAGGCTGGTCTTGGACTTCTGGGCTCAAGTGATCTGGCCTCCAAAAGTGCTGGGATTACAGGCAAAAAATTAGCTCTTTGAAAAAAATCAATACAATTGATAAATTGACTTAAAATTGTCTTTAAAAAAACCCAAACACAAATTATCAATACCAAAAAATAAAAGAGGTGGCATCACTATAAACCCTACAGACATTACAATAATTAAAAGGCAATATTATGAACAAACTTATGCCCATACACTTGAAAATTTAAATAAAATTTTAAAATTACTTGAAAGATGCTAATGACCAGAACTGACACAAGAATTAATACAAATCTGAATAACCCTGTATATATATAAGAAATTAAATTCATAATTGCTGTAGTTTGGTAGACTCAGCCATTCCAGTCTGCTGGTTTTGGAGACTATAAAGTCTGGATAAGGAAAGGTCCCCCACAATGCAACAGAGCCACCTTGCCAGACTGTGGTCAGACTACTACTTCTTCCTCTTCTTCTTCTTTTTTTTTTTTTTTTTGAGATGGAGTTTTGCTCTTATTGCCTAGGCTGGAGTGCAGTGGTACCATCTTGCTTCACTACAACCTCCCCTCCTGGGTTCAAGTGATTGTCTTGCCTCAGCATCCTGAGTAGCTGAGATTACAGGCACCCACCACCACTCCCGGCTAATTTTTTGTATTTTTAGTAGAGATTGGGTTTCACCATGTTGGCCAGGCTGGCCTCAAACTCCTGACTTCAGGTGATCCACCCGCCTTGGCTTCCCAAAATGCTGCGATTACAGATGTGAACCACTCGCTTGGCCCTTTGGCTGCTTCTTTAAGCAGGACCCCAATCCATTCTTCCTCACTGGGTGGAACCTCCCTGCAGGGGTTCACACTCCAGCCAGGGTTCTACAGAACAAGCTCTGATCTCTTCCTGGGATAGGGCCCCTAGGGGGAGGTGCAGCTGCCATCTTTGTGGTTTGATTGACCCAGTCTGTTCAGCCTGCTGGCTTCAGAGAATACAAACAGTCCAGACAAGGAAGGGCAGCACACCTGCTCTACCAAAAAGCAGTCAGATTGCTTCTGATCCCATTCCTCCTGACTGGGTGAGCCCTCCCAACAGGGGTCTCCAGGCACCTCCTACCAGAATATTTGGGCCAGCAGCAGGTCAGTAAGCACCTGGGACGAAGTTTCCAGGGGAAGAAACTGGCTGTCATCTTTGCTGTTTTACAGCCCTTACTGGTGATACCTCTAAGTACAGGAAAACACAAGGCAACTAGGGTCTGGAGTGGATCTCCAGCAAACCACAGCAGCCTGACTGTTCAGAGAAAAACAAACAGAAAAAACTAATCAAAACAAAGAGACAAGGTACCACAATCTCTGGGACACAGCTAAAGCAGTTGAAGAGGGAAATTTATAGCACTAAATGCCCACATCAAAAACTAGAAAGACATCAAATTAGCAACATAGCAAGTCAACTAAAAGAATTAGAGAACCAGCCGGGCGCGGTGGCTCAAGCCTGTAATCCCAGCACTTTGGGAGGCCGAGGCGGGTGGATCACGAGGTCAAGAGATGGAGACCATCCTGGTCAACATGGTGAAACCCCGTCTCTACTAAAAATACAAAAAAAATTAGCTGGGCATGGTGGCGCGTGCCTGTAATCCCAGCTACTCAGGAGGCTGAGACAGGAGAATTGGCTGAACCCAGGAGGCGGAGGTTGCGGTGAGCCGAGATTGCGCCATTGCACTCCAGCCTGGGTAACAAGAGCGAAACTCTGTCTCAAAAAAAAAAAAAAAAAAAAAAAAAAAAAAGAATTAGAGAACCAAGAGCAAACAAATCCCAGAGCTAGTAGAAGACAAGAAATAACAAAGATAAGAGGTGAACTGAAGGATGAGAACTGAACTGATACAAAAAATCCTTTAAAACATCAATGAATCCAGGAGCTGGTTTTTTGAAAACAATTATTAAAATAGATAGACTGCTAACTAGTCTAATAAAGAAGGAAAGAGAGATGATTCAAATAAGCACAATCAGAAGTGTTAAGGGAGTTATCAGCACCGACCCTACAGAAATACAAACAACCATCAGAGAATACTGTAAACACTACGATGCACATAAAATAGAAAATCTAGGCCACTTGCGCTCATGCCTGTAATCCCAGCACTCTGGGTAGCCGAGGTGGGTGGATCACCTGAGGTCAGGAGTTGTGCTGGTGCGCAGGCCCTTCACTGCATAGGTGACAGAGCAAGGCCCTGTCTAAACAAACTAACTAAACTAAGAAAATCTAGAAGAAATGGATAAATTTCTCGATATGTGCACCCTCATGAGATGAACCAGGAAGAAATTGGATCTGTGAATAGACCAGTAATGAGGTCTAAAATTGAGGCAGTAATAAATAGCCTACCAACCAAAAAAAAAAAAACAACAACAACCCAGGACCAGACAAATTCACAGCTGAATTCTACCAGAGGTTTAAAGAAGAGCTAGTACCATTTCTATTGAAACGATCGCAAAAAATTGAAAAGGAGGCCTTCCCCACTGCCCGCCTGCTCGCATTGGCTCCTTGCTGGCCCTCGCCGTTGCTTCCGCCACTGCCCGCAGAGCTCGCCCCCTCACCACCCGCAGACATGTCTGAGTCAAAGAACAGCTTCGTTTTTCGCCGTCATGGGCGCCTCGGCCACCATGGTCTTCTGCGCCCTGGGTGCCGCCTGTGGCACGGCCAAGAGTGGTACCGGCATTGTGGCCATGTCTGTCATGTGGCCGGAGCTGATCATGAAGTCCATCATCCCAGTTGTCATGGCTGGCATCATCGCCATCTACGGCCTGGTGGTGGCAGTCCTCATCGCCAACTCCCTGAATGATGACATCAGCCTCTACAGGAGCTTCCTCCAGCTGGGTGCTGGCCTGAGCGTGGGCCTGAGTGGCTTGGCAGTTGGCTTTGCCATCGGCATTGCGGGGGACCCGGCGTGCGGGGCACCGCCCAGCAGCCCCGACTATTCGTGGGCATGATCCTGATCCTCACCTTTGCCGAGGTGCTCGGCCTCTATGGGCTCATCATCGCCCTCATCCTCTCCACAAAGTAGCCCCTCTACAAACCCATCAGCCACAGAACATTATGTAAAGACCACCCCTCCCCATTCCAGAACGAACAGCCTGACACACACGCACCGGGCCGCCGTCCCCAGTAGTTGGTCTTGTACATGCACGGTGTCCTGGTGCCCATCGTCTGTTGCCCCGGATGTGGAAAAAAAAAAATTGAAAAGGAGTGACTCCTCTCTAACTTATTTAATGAGGCCAGCATCATTCTGATGCCAAAACGTGGCAGAGATACAACAAATAAACAAAACCCAAAACCTCAGGCCAATATCCTTCATGAATATCAGTGCAAAAGTCTTCAGTAAAATACTGACAAACTGAATCCAGCAGCCACATCAAAAAGGTTATCCACCATGATCAAGTTGGCTTCATTCCTGGCATGCAAGTTTGGTTTGACATACACAAATCAATAAATACGATTCGTTGCATGAATGGAACTAAAGACAAAAACCACATGATTATCTCAATAGATGCAGAAAAGGTCTTTGATAAAATTTAACATCCCTGAAAAGAAGGCAAATGTTGATCGCCAGGGAAATGGGGAGAAGCCCTTGAAGGATTTCAGAGACCTTTGCAGCAGCCCCTCCCATTAGAGGTTGGGAACCCTATGAGAGAGGAATGGTTTCATGGGCCAGGCCCAGGGTCCCACTGCCCTGAGCAACCTTGGGATACTGCTCCCTCCATTCCAGCCACTCCAGCTCCAGCCATGGCTCAAAGGGGCCCAGGTATAGCTCAGCCAGCTGCATCAGAGGCTGCAAGCTGTAAGCCTTGGCAACTACCATATGATGTTAAGCCCGCAGGTGCAAATAGTGCAAGTTGAGGCTTGGAAGCTTCTGCCTAGATTAGAGGATGTATGGAAAGGCCTGGATATCCAGGCAGAAGCCTGCTTCAGGGTCAGAGCCTTTGTGGAGAACCTCTGCTAGGGCAGTGCAGAGGAGAAATAGTTGGGTTGGAGTCCCCACATAGAGTCTGGGACACCAGCTACTGGAGCTGTGAGAAGAGGGCCACCATACTCCCAACTCCAGAACTGCAGATCCTTTGGCAGCTTGCACCCTCAGCCTGGAAGAGCCATAGGCACCCAATGCCAGCCCATGAGAGCAGATGTGGGGGCTGACCCCTGTAAAGCCACAGGGGCGAAGCTGCCCAAGGCCTTGGGAGCTCCCCCTTTGTACCAGTGTGCCTTGTATGTGAGACATGGAGTCAAAAGAGATTATTTTGGAGCTTTAAGATTTAATGACTGCCCTGCTGAGTTTCAGACTTGCATAGGGCCTGTAGCCCCTTTCTTTTGGAGTTCTCTCTTTTGAAATGGGAGTATTTACCCAATGCCTGCATCCCCATTGTATCTTGGAAGTAACTAACTTATTTTTTATTTTACAGTCTTATAGGTGGAAGGGACTTACCTTGTCTCAGATGAGACTTTGGACTTTGGACTTTTGTGTTAATGCTGGAAGGAGGTAAGACGGGACTGTTGAGAAGGGATGACTGTATTTTACAACATGAGAAAGACGTGAGACTTGGAGGGACCAGGGACAGAATTATATGGTTTGGTTGGTGTCCCCACCAAATCTCATGTTGAATTGTAATCCTCAGTGTTGCTGGTGGGGCCTAGTGGGAGGCCATTGGATCATGGGGGTGGTTTCTCATGGTTTAACACTATCCCCCTTGGTGTTGTCATAGTGAGTGAATTCTTGTGATATCTGGTCATTTAAAAGCATGCCACACCTCCGTCCTCTTTCTATTCCTGCTCTGGCCAGGTGAAGTGCTTGCTCCCCCTTTGCCTTCCACCATGTTTGTAGGTTTCCTGAGGCTACCCCAGAAGCTGAGCAGATGCCAGCATTATGCTTCCTGTGGAACTGTGAAGTCTGTGGAACTGGAACTGTGAAGTTTGTAAAACTGTGTGAAACCTCTTTTCTTTACAAATATCAAGTCTTAGGTATTTCTTTATAGCAGTGCAAGAACAGACTAATAAACCATATTAATCAAAATATTGGCCAGGCATGATGGCTCATTCCTGTAATCCCAGCACTTTGGGAGGCTGAGTTGGGCAGATTGATTAAACTCAGGAGTTCAAGATCAGCCTGGGTAATATGGTAAAACCCTGTGTCTACAAAAAATAAAAATAAAAAAAAATGGCTGGGCACGGTGGCATGCACCAGTGGTCCCAGCTAATTGGGAGGCTGAGGTGGGAGGATTGCATGAGCCTCATATATATATATATATATATATATATATATATATATATATTTTTTTTTTTTTTTTTTTTCTCATTAAACTTTTTTTAATGGGTCTCAAAATTCTGTGACAAATTTTTGGTCAAGTTGTTTCCATTAAAAAGTACTGATTTTAAAAACTAATAACTTAAAACTGCCACAAGCAAAAAAGAAAACCAAAGTGGTCCACAAAACATTCTCCTTTCCTTCTGAAGGTTTTACGATGCATTGTTATCATTAACCAGTCTTTTACTACTAAACTTAAATGGCCAATTGAAACAAACAGTTCTGAGACCGTTCTTCCTCCACCACTGATTAAGACTGAGGTGGCAGGTATTAGGGATAATATTCATTTAGCCTTCTGAGCTTTCTGGGCAGACTTGGTGACCTTGCCAGCTCCAGCAGCCTTCTTGTCCACTGCTTTGATGACACCCACGGCAACTGTCTGTCTCATATCACGAACAGCAAAGCGACCGAGAGGTGGATAATCTGAGAAGCTCTCAACACACATGGGCTTGCCAGGAACCATATCAACAATGGCAGCATCACCAGACTTCAAGAATTTAGGGCCATCTTCCAGCTTTTTACCAGAACGGCGATCAATCTTTTCCTTCAGCTCAGCAAACTTGCAGGCAATGTGAGCTGTGTGGCAATCCAGTACAGGGGCATAGCCAGCACTGATTTGGCCTGGATGGTTCAGGATAATCACCTGAGCAGTGAAGCCAGCTGCTTCCATTGGTGGGTCATTCTTGCTGTCACCAGCAACGTTGCCACGACGAACATCCTTGACAGACACGTTCTTGACATTGAAGCCCACATTGTCCCCAGGAAGAGCTTCACTCAAAGCTTCATGGTGCATTTCAACAGATTTCACTTCAGTTGTAACGTTGACTGGAGCAAAGGTGACTACCATACCAGGTTTGAGAACACCAGTCTCCACTCGGCCAACAGGAACAGTACCAATACCACCAATTTTATAGACATCCTGGAGAGGCAGGCGCAAGGGCTTATCAGTTGGACGAGTTGGTGGTAGGATGCAGTCAAGTGCCTCAAGCAGTGTGGTCCCACTGGCATTGCCATCCTTACGGGTGACTTTCCAACCCTTGAACCAAGGCATGTTAGCACTTGGCTCCAGCATGTTGTCACCATTCCAACCAGAAATTGGCACAAATGCTACTGTGTCGGGGTTGTAGCCAATTTTCTTAATATAAGTGCTGACTTCCTTAACGATTTCCTCGTATCTCTTCTGGCTGTAGGGTGGCTCAGTGGAATCCATTTTGTTAACACCAACAATAAGTTGTTTCACACCTAGTGTGTAAGCCAGGAGGGCATGCTCTCGGGTCTGCCCGTTCTTGGAGATACCAGCTTCAAATTCACCAACACCAGCAGCGACAATCAGGACAGCACAGTCAGCCTGAGATGTCCCTGTAATCATGTTTTTGATGAAGTCTCTGTGTCCTGGGGCATCAATGATAGTCACGTAGTACTTGCTGGTCTCGAATTTCCACAAGGAGATATCAATGGTGATACCACGTTCACGCTCAGCTTTTAGTTTATCCAAGACCCAGGCATACTTGAAGGAGCCCTTTCCCATCTCAGCAGCCTCCTTTTCAAATTTTTCAATGGTTCTTTTGTCAATGCCCCCGCATTTGTAGATTAGATGGCCAGTAGTGGTGGACTTGCCGGAATCTACATGTCCAATGACGACAATGTTGATATGAGTCTTTTCCTTTCCCGTTTTGGCTTTTAGGGGTAGTTTTCACGACACCTATGTTCTGGCGGCAAACCCGTTGCGAAAAAAGCTTTTTTTTTTTTTTTTTTTTTTGAGATGGAGTCTTGCTCTGTTGCCCAGGCTGGAATGCAGTGGCATGATCTTGGCTCACTGCAACCTCTGTCTCCCGGGTTCAAGTGATTCTCCTGGATCAGCCTCCTGAGTAGCTGGGATTACAGGCACGTGTCACCACGCCCAGCTAATATTTTTGTATTATTAGTAGAGATGGGGTTTCATCACTTTGTTCAGGCTGGTCTCAAATTCCTGACCTTGTGATCTGCCTGCCTCAGGCTCCCAAGGTGCTGGGATTACAGGTGTGAGTCACTATGCCCAGCCAAGCCTGGGACTTTTTTTGTATTTTTAGTAGAGACAGGGTTTCACCATGTTGGCCAGGATGGCTGCAAACTCCTGACCTCAGGTGATCCACCTGCCTCAGCCTCGAGAAGTGCTGGGATTACAGGTATGAGCTACTGCCACTAGCCAATTTTGTAGTTTTAGTAGAGACATGGTTTCACCATGTTCACCATATTGGTCAGGCTGGTCTCAAACTCCTGACCTCAGGTGATCTATCTGCCTTGGCCTCTCAAAGTGCTGGGATTACAGGCATGAGCCACTGTGCCCAACCAAATCATTCTTTTTTTTTTTTTTTTTGAGATGGAGTCTTGTTCTGTCGCCCAGGCTGGAGTGCATTGGCACTATCTCAGCTTGTTACAACCTCTGCCTCATGGGTTCAAGTGATTCTCTTGCCTTAGCCTCCTGAGTACCTGGGATTACAGGCACACACCATCATGCCTGGCTAATATTTGTATTTATAGTAGAGACAGGGTTTCACCATGTTGGCCAGGATGGTCTTGATCTCCTGACCCCATGATCTGCCTGCTTTGGCTTCCAAAAGTGCTGGGATTACAGGTGTGAGCCACCGCTCCTGACCAAATTGTTCTATTTTAAAGACACATGCACATGTATGTTTATTGCAGCTCTATTTGGAATAGCAAAGACATGGAATCAACCTAAATGCCCATCAATGCTAGACTGCATAAAGAACATGGCGTACATATTCCCCATGGAATACTATGCAGCCATAAAAAAAACGAGATCATGTCTCTTTTTTTTCTCGAGATGGAGTCTTGCTCTGTCGCCAAGTCTGGAGTGCACTGGTGCCATCTCGGCTCACTGCAACCTCTGCCTCCCAGGTTCAAGTGATTCTCCTGCCTCAGCCTCTCAAGTAGCTGGGACTCCAGGTGCACGCCGCCAGTCCAGCTAATGTTTTGTATTTTTAGTATAGATGGGGTTTCACTGTGTTAGCCAGGATGATCTCAATCTCCTGACCTCGTGATCCACCCACCTCGGCCTCCCAAAGTGCTGGGATCATAGGCGTGAACCACCGTGCCCCGCTGAGTACATATCTTTTGCAGGAACATAGATAGGAGCTGGAGGCCATTATCCTTAGCAAACTGTATTAGGGTTCTCTAGCGGGCAGTATTATGCACAACACTGCCCACGTAAGACTGGATGAGTATTTCCAGTATTCTTTCTAAAGAGCTAGTGTAATCAAAAAAGGTAAAATGTAAGAGAAAAACATGTAAAACTGACATTCTGAGTGGTCTTTATAAGACTTTAGGGACTAGCGCAATGGCTCACGCCTGTAATCCCAGCACTTTGGGAGGCCGAGGAAGGTGGATTGCCTGAGGTTGGGAGTTCTAGACCAGTGTGACCAACATGGAGAAACCCTGTCTCTATTAAAAATACAAAATTAGCTGGGCGTCATGGTGCATGCCTGTAATCCCAGCTACTTGGAAGCCTGAGGAAGGAGACTCATTTGAACCCAGGACGCAGAGGTTGCGGTAAGCCAAGATCACGCCATTGCACTTTAGCCTGGGCAACAAGAGGGAAACTCTTGTCTCGAAAAAAAAAAAAAAAAAAGAATTTAAGAAGGCCTTTAACATGAAGATTAAAATCCTCACGAGAAATTTCTTTTTTTGTTTTGTTTTGTTTTTGAGATGGAGTTTTGCTCTTGTTCTCCAGGCTAGAGTGCAACAGCACAATCTGGGCTCACTGCAACCTGCACCTCCAGAGTTCAAGAAATTGTCCTGCCTCTGCCTCTCAAGTAGCTGAGATTGCAGGCTTGTGCCACCATGCCTGGTTAACTTTGTATTTTTGATAGAGACAGGGTTTCAGCATGTTGGCCAGGCTGGTGTCAGACTCCTGACCACCAGCCTTGTCCTCCCAAAGTGCGAGGATTACAGGCATGGGTCATTGTAATCGGCCCTCATGAGAGATTTCTTTGTGGGTTCACTTCTTGTTCCTGACATAGCTCCTTGACCTTTTGAGTCTCTCTGTCCCTGCCTCTCTCTCTCCCTTTCAACTACCCTCCTACTCTCTTCCTACCGCTTCTTCCTTCCTTTTCTATCTTACTATCTTTTACTATGAAGTTTAACACAAATATGGAATTGAGCATAAAATGTTAATGTGCCATTTAATGAAATGTTATAAATTACACATCTGTGTAATGAACACTCAGGCCACTTAATGGAGTATAGCCAGACCTCCAGAAAGGCTTTTTTGACTGCAACTCTCTCCATGCCTAGAGATAATCATTACTTCCTTACATTTCTTTACAAGGTACCACTTAACTATGTATCCATAAAAACACAAATTGTTTTTCTTGCTTTTAATCTTAACTGGAATCTTTCTGCTGCTTTCTTTTTTGGCTTGGGTTATTTTAGTCAATATTATGTTTTTAAGATACACCAGTGACCTGTGTAGCTGTATGTTGTTCATTTTGGTGCTATATTCTATTGTAGGACTTGTTCCACAATTTATCTATTATACTCTTTTTTTTTTTTTTTTTTTTTTTTTTTTTTTTTTTTGAGACAGAGTCTCACTCTTTTGCTAGGCTGGAGTACAGTGGCATGATCTTGGCTCACTGCAACCTCCACCTCTGGTTTCAAGTGATTCTCCTGCCTCAGCCTCTCGAGTAGCTGGGACTATAGGCATGCTCTGCCATACCCAGCTAATTTTTATATTTTTAGTAGAGACGAGGTTTCACCATGCTGGCCAGGGTAGTCTTGATCTCTTGATTTCGTGATCCGCCTGCCTCGGCCTCCCAAACTGCTGGGATTACAGGCATGAGCCACTGCACCTGGCCCTATTATATTCTTAATGAACAGTTGTTAATAGTTTTGGGGATTATCAGCAATGCAGCCAAGTGCAGTTTTTTTTTTTATTACAATTATCCTGAGACACATACATGAGTTTCTCTAGTGTGTATATGTGGGAGTGGAATTGCTGAGTCCTAGGACTTATGTATCTTCATATTTGCCAAAATGTTTTCTAAAGTGGTTGCACCAATTTCACTTCTACCGGCAGTTTATGAAAGTCCTCTTTATGTTTTGTCAGACTTTACAATTTTTATTTGATCTTATGGATGCATAGTGGTAGCACACTGAAGTTTTAATTTACATTTTCCTGATTACTAATGAGGTTGAATTCCCTTTCATATTTTTATTGCCATTTGGATTCTTCTTTGCAAAGTTCTGGTTCAAGTTTTTTGGCCATTTTTATGGTGCTTTCAGTAAGGGTTCACATGAGTTCTTTATATATTCTAGATACAAAGTATACAAATTCTTAGTCATTATATGTGTTACAAAATGTCCCTCTTCATTTTGTGGCTTGCTTCTCTTTTATAGAACAAAAATTCCTTTTATAGAAAAAATTTCTTTTATAAAACAAAAATTAATATTTTAACGAGATTAATTTATTTTTATTTTTCTTTATGGCCAATGTTTTCTTTTGGTCTTGTTTTAAAGACTTTGCTTATTCTGAAATAATAAAGATATCTTTCTATACTTTAAACTTTTAAAAAATCTTCTTTTTTTTTGAGACAGGGTCTGATTCTGTTGCCCAGGCTGGCATGCAGTGGCACAATCTTTGGTTGCTGTAGCCTCGACCTCCTAGGCTCAAGTGATCTTCCCATGACAGCTTCCCAAGTACCTGGTACTGCAGGTGCATGCTGTCACACCAGGCTAATTTTTTATTTTTTTCTAGATGTGGGGTTTTGCCATGTTGTCCATGCTGGTCTCGAATTCCTGAGCTGAAGTGACTCACCGGCCTCAGCTTTCCAAGATGCTGAGACTACAGGTATGAGCCACTGTGCCCAGCCTCATCTACACACTATAGTTTGCTTTCTGTTTAGTTCTATAATCTATTTGGAATTGATTTGTGTGGATGTTTTAAGGTAGGGATTACATCTTTTTGTTTCCCATGTGATTTTTGTATCTTCCAGAATGATTTATTGGAAAGTCTACTCTTTCCACACTGTTTTTCTTTGTCATTTTTATCATAAATCAAGGGCCTACATACATGTAGGTATGTTTCCGGTTATCCTATGTTATTCCATTGGCCTGTTATTAGTCCATACTTGTATCATTAATATGTTTTAATTAATTTTTCTTTATATTAAGTATTGACATTTGATAGAGCAAGAATTCTTATCTTGTTCTTTAGTGATGTTCTTGGCCAATGCATTTATTTAATTTTATAAGTATATTGCCATATTTCATTAAAAAACTTTTGGGATTTTAACTATAATTTTTTGAATCTGTAGATCAGTTTGAGGGTAATTTGTATCTTTACAATGTTAACTCTTCCAAAACAGTAGCATATTATCTATCTCATTATTTGAGTCTTATTTTATATCTCTCAATAGGGTTTCATAGAAGTCTTATATATCTTTTGTTATATTTAATGCCGTACTTAAAAATTTTGACAACATTGTAATTGGCAACCCTGTTTTTAAATTGATGGCATGTAGAAATAAAATAAATTATGCTACTATTGTATCAAGCCACTTTGCTAAACTTTCTTATTAATTCTAATAAGTTATCTGTAGATTACTGTAGATTTTATATATACAATCATCTAAGAATAAAGTCAGTTTTGTTTGTTCCTTTTTACTACCATTTGTTGAATAGTGACTCCTTTCTCCATGGCTTGTTTTTGTTAACCTTGCTAAAGAAAAGTTGGTTGTAGGTATGCAGTTGTATTTCTGAGTTCTCTCTTCTGTTTCATTTGTTTGTTTTTGTTTTGTATCAGTATGGTGCTGTTTTGGTTGCTGTAGCCTTATAGTACAGGCTAAAATTGGGTAGAGTGATGTCCAACTTTATTCTTTTTGCTTAGGATTGTTTTGACTATTTGGGCTCTTTTTGGTTTCCATATGAATTTTAGAATAGTTTCTTCTAATTCTGTGAAAAATGTTAGTAGTTTTATCTACTTTATTATTATTTTTTTTTTCTGAGATAGAGTCTCACTCTGTGGCCCATGCTGGAGTGCAATGGTGCGATCTTGGCTCACTGCAACCTCCGCCTCCCAGGTTAAATCGATTCTCCTGTCTCAGCCTCCCAAGGAGCTGGGACTACAGGTGCATGTCACCATGCCCAGCTAATTTTTGTATTTTCAGTAGAGACGGGGTTTTATCATATTGATCAGGCTGGTCTCGAACTCCTGACCTCAGGTAATTTACCCACCTTGGCCTCCCAAAGTGTTGGGATTACAGGCATGAACCACCTCGCCTGGCCTGAATGTTAGTAGTTTGGTAGGAATAGCCTTCAATCTGTAAATTGCTTTGGGCAGTATGGTCACTTTCATGATATTGATTCTTCCAATCAGTGAGCATGGAATGTTTTTTGTGTTGTCTCTGATATCTTCCAGCAGTGTTTTGTGGTCTCCTTGCAGAGATCTTTGACTTCTTTTGGTAGAATCTTTAGGATTTTCTAAAGGTAGACTCAATATCAGCAAAGAGAGATAGTGTAACTTCTTCTTTTCCAATTTGGATGTATTTTATTTCTTTCTTTTGCCTAATTCCTCTGGCTAGAACTTCCAGTACCATGTTGAATAGGGTTAGTGAGAATAGGCATCCTCATCTCGTTCCAATTCTCAGGGGAATGTTTCCAGCTTCTACTTGTTCAACGTGATGGTTGTGGGTTTGTCATAGATGGCTCTTATTATTTTGGGGTATGTTCCTTGATGCCTAGTCTGCTGAGGGTTTTTTTTTTTTTTATCATAAAGTGATGTTGGATTTTATTGAAAGCTTTTTCTGTGTCTGTTTAGTTGATCATATAGTTTTTGCTTTTAATTATGTTTATGTAATGAATCACATTTATTTATTTATGTATGTTGAACCAAGCTTGCATCCTGGAAATAAAACCTACTTGCTTGTGGCTTTAACTAAACCAATGTAGTTTAGTTAAAACTCACCATTGCGGTGAATTAACTCTTTGATGTGCTGCTGGATTCAGTTTGCTAGTGTTTTGTTGATAATTTTTGCATCATGTTCATCAGAGATATTAGCCTAAAGTTGTCTTTTTTTGTTGTGTCACTGCCAGATTTTGGTATTATGCTGATGGCGGCTTCATAGAATGAGTTAGGGAGAACTTCCTCCTCCTTGATTTTTTGAAATAGTTTCAGTAGTATTGGTACCAGTTCTTCTTTATATAGCTGGTAGAATTTGTCTGTAAATCCATCTGGTGCAGGGCATTTTTTGGTTAATAGGTTTTTTTAGTACTGATTCAATTTCAGAGCTTGATATTGGTCTGTTCAGGGTTTCAGTCTCTTCCTGACTTAATTCTGGGAGATTGTGTGTTTCCAGCAATTTATACATTCCTCTAGACTTTCTAATTTGTGTGCATAGAGTTGTTCATAGTATTATCTGAGGATCTTTTGTGTTTCTGTGGCACCAGTTGTAAAATGTCATCTTTGTCATTTCTGATTATACTTATTCATATCTTCTCTTTTATTTTTGTTTGTTAATCTAGCTAGTGATCTGTCAATCTTGTTCATTTCTTTGAATAATCAACTCTTGGTTTTATTGATCTTTTGTATGGAGTTTTGCATCCCAATTTCATTAAGTTCTTTTTTTTTTTTTTTTTTTGAGACGGAGTTTCGCTCTTGTTACCCAGGCTGGAGTGCAATGGCGCGATCTCGGCTCACTGCAACCTCCGCCTCCTGGGTTCAGGCAATTCTCCTGCCTCAGCCTCCTCAGTAGCTGGGATTACAGGCAGGCGCCACCATGCCCAGCTAATTTTTTATATTTTTAGTAGAGACGGGGTTTCACCATGTTGACCAGGATGGTCTCGATCTCTCGACCTCGTGATCCACCCGCCTCGGCCTCCCAAAGTGCTGGGATTACAGGCTTGAGCCACCATGCCCGGCCCAGCCCATTAAGTTCTTTTCAATTTTAGTTATTTATTTTCTTCTGCTAGCTTTGGGGTTGGTTTGTACTTTTCTCCTAGTTACCTTAGGTGGAAAGTTAGATTGTTATTTTGAGAACTGTCTAACTTCTTAATGAAGGTGTTTAGGGCTATAAACTTTCCTCTTAACACTGCTTTATCTGCGTGATAGAGATTTTGGTTACATTGTGTAGCTATTTTCATTCATTTCAAAAAAATTTTTTGAGCTCTGTCTTTTAATGTTTGCTCAGGAGTTATTCAGAGCAGGTTGTTTAATTTCCACTTATTTGCATAGTTTTGAGAAATCTTGATGATTTCTTTTTTTTCCTTTTCTTTTTTTTGAGACAGAGTCTCACTCTGTTACTCAGACTGGAGTGCAGTGGCATGATCTTGGCTCACTACAACTTCCACTTCCCAGGTTTATGAGATTCTCATGCCTCAGCCTCCCAAGTAGCTGGGATTACAGGCCTGTGCCATTAAACCCAGCTAAATTTTTTATTTTTAGTAGAGAGGGGGTTTTACCATGATGGCTAACTGGTCTTGAACTCTCAACCTTAGATGATCTGCCTGCCTTGGCCTCCCAAAGTGCTGGGATTATAGGTGTGAGTCCAGCCAATGATTTCTATTTTTACTGCACTGTGGTCCAAGAGTGTGCTTGATATGACTTCATTTTTTTGAATTTATTGAGATTTGTTTTATGACCAAGCATATGGCCAATATTAGAATATGTTCCATATGCAGATGAAAAGAATGTATATTCTGTGGTTGTTGACTGGCATATTCTGTAGGGGCTTATTATGTCCAGTTGGTCAAGTGTCAAGTTTAATTTCAGAGTTTCTTTGTTAGTTTTTTGTCTTGATGATCTAACACTGTTAGTGGGGTGTTGAAGTCTTTCACTATTATTGTGTTGTTTTCTAAGTCTTCTTGTAGTCCAAGAACTTGTTTTATGAACCTGGGTGTTCCAATGTTGGGTGCATATATATTTAAGATTGTTAAGTCTTTTTGTTGGATTGTATCCTTCATCATTATGTAATGCCCTTCATTGTTTTTCTTAATTTTTATTGGTTTAAAGTCTGTTTTATTTGATCTAAAAATAGCAGCTCCTGCTCTTTTTTGTTTTCTGTTTGCATGGAATATCTTTCTCCATCCCTTTACTTTGAGCCCGTGAGTGTCATTACGTGTGAGATGACTCTTTTGAAGACAATAGATAATGGGATCTTGTCTTTTTATCCAGCTTGCTACTCTGTCTTTTAAGTGGGGAATTAACTCATTTACATTCAAGGTTAGAATTGATGTGTGTGATTTTGATCTTGCCATTGTGTTCGCTGGTTGTTATGTGGACTTGATCATGTAGTTGCTCTATAGTGCCTGTGGACTATGTGCTTAGGAGTGTTTCTGTGGCAGCAGGTGTCATTCTTTTGATTCCATGTTTAGCACTCCCTTAAGGTCTTCTTATATGGTTGCTCTAGTTGAAACAAATATTCTCAGCATCTGAGAAGGATTTTATTTTTCCTTCATGTATGAAGTTCAGTTTGGTGAGATGTGAAATCTTGGTTGGAATTTCTTTTCTTTAACAATGCTGAAAATAGGCCCCCATTCTCTTCTGGCATGTAAGGTTTCTACTGAGAAGTCTGCTGTTAGTCCGATGGGATTCCCTCTGTATGTGACTTGACACTTCTCTCTAGCTGCCATTAAGATTTTTTTTTCCATGTTGACCTTGGTGAATCTGATGAGTATGTACCTTGAGGATTGTCATTTTTTATAGTGTCTATTTGGGGTTCTCTGTGTTTCTTGGGCTTACACATCAATTTCTCTATCAAGATTAGGGAAATGTTCATGGACTGTATCCTCAAATATGCTTTCCAAGTTGCTTATTCTCTCTCCTCTCTCAGGAATGCCAATGAGTCATAGACTTGTTCTCTTTACATAATCCCATATTTCTCAGAGGTTTTGGTCATTTTTCTTAATTCTTTTTTCTTTATTTTTGCCTGACTTAGTTGATTCAAATAACTGGCCTTTGAGATCTAAAATTCTTTCTCCAGCTTGGTCTATTCTGCTGTTATTACTTTTGATTATGTTATAAAATTATCGTAGTGAGTTTTTCAGCGCTAGAAGTTCAGTGTGATCCTTTCTTAAAATGGTGATTTCATTTTTATCTCTTGGATTGCTTTATTGGATTCCTTGAATTGGGTTTCAACTTTCTCCTGAATCTTGATGAGCTTCCTTGCCATCCAGATTCTGAATTCTATGTTTTTATTTTTGTCATTTCAGTTATTTCAGACAGCTTAAGAACCATTGCTGGGGAGTTAGTGGACTCATTTGGAGGTAAGGAGATGTTCTGGCTTTTTGAATTGCTAGGGTTCTTGCTCTGATTCTTTCTCATATGGGAGGGTTGATGTTCCTTTAATTGTGGCGTAAGTTAAGCATATTTAGTTGGTTTCATTTCTGGGTTCAAGCGATTCTCCTGCCTCAGCCTCCCAAGTAGCTGGAATTGCAGGTGCCCACCACCATGCCTGGCTAATTTCTGTATTTTTAGTGGAGACAGGGTTTCTCCATATTGGTCAACTTGGCCTCAAACTCCTAACCTCAAGTGATCCACCTGCCTCAGCCTCCCAAAGTGCCAGGATTACAGCTGTGAGCCACCACACGCAGCCTTAAATTACTTTTGAAAATAAAAAGTTCAATTAATCTTCTTTTAAAAAGAGGATAGCAAGGAAGACTTGTTATATCAGACAGCAGAACATAGCAAAAAGCTGCTGCACTGAAATCAGTAAGGTATTTGTGTCAGAATCGAAAATTATGACAAGTTGAAGAGAAGACAGAACCCAGAAAGAATTGCAGATGGATTAAAAATTTTAAATGACAGCAAAACATGTGTTTTTATAAATATGGTAATTGATAAAACTATGGACTGATATATGGTAAATTTTTTCCCTGTTTTGTTTTTTAAATTTTGGTGGGTACAGCATAGCTGTATATATTTATGGAGTACATAAGATGTTTTGATACAGACATGCAATGTGAAATAAACCCACTATGGGGAATGGGATGATAGACTGTTAATATGAGTTGTCAGGATGATGTTTGGCAGAAAAAGAATGAGGAGAAAGAACGGGAAGCCATTCCTAAAAGGAAAGGAAAAACAACCAGGTTAACAAAAAATAGGATGTAAGATTCTATCAAAGGTGTTGATGTAAAATTACGTAAAGATTAGTTTACTGAAAAAGAAACATTTTATAAATTAAAAATGAAAAATCAATTAAGATTTGCAGAGAAATTTTGTTAGCTTCTTGGTAATTAAATGTGTATCAGTTTGTTTTAGCTAATAGTTAAAAAGGTAAAATTTACTTTAGTATCTTTTCAAATCATTTGTGTGTTATAATGTATATTTCCATGCTTGCATTTTTTGGTTGATACTATCCCCAATTCACACAAATGAATCAATAGTTCATTTAAGTATAAAAGCAATGCTAGCAATAGTAATGCAAATATAGCAATCCAAAATAAGCTCATATAAATTGAGAGTAGGCCTTTGGTGTGGGATATAAGATGTGAATTTATAATGCTAAGTGACTTGGTAAAGACTTTTGAAGAAGCAGCTGAAAAGAAAAATGTCAATAAAAATTACTCCCTGTATAAATCTTAATTGCTTTAACTCTCTAATTTGGTTAAACATTTAATAAAATTTGGGTTTCAAGTCCAAGACTTAGCATCATTGTCTACCTAGTGATAATTTTCCTGAATTATGAGAGAAAGTAGAACAAGATGAGGATATAAATATATTTTAAAATACAGACAGGGCCTTGCTTTATTGCCCAGGCTGGAGGGAGTGGCACAATCAAAGCCCACTGCATTCTTGAACTCCTGGGCTCAAGCAATAATCCCACCTCAGCCTCCCAAGCAGCTAGGACTATAGGCATGTGCCACTATGCCTGGCTAATTTTAAAATTTTTTGTAGTGACAGAGTCTTGCTATGTTGTCCATGCTGGTCTTCAGCTCTTGGTCTCAAGTAATCCTCCTGCTTCAGCCTCCCAAAATGTTGGGAGTATGGGCATGAGCCACCACACCCACAAGGGGAGGATATTAACTATAAGAAGTAATGGCCATTATTACTATGACCCTCAGGGTGTTCCCTCTAAATGGTAGGCCTAGGCTCCGTCTAGAAACTCCAATTCACGTACAGACAACATTTTCAGATGGAAAACCTGCCTTGAAGCAGATGCTTTCAATTTCTTTCTTTTTAGAAATAAAGACATTTTAATTTTATTATTATTATTATTATTATTATTATTATTTTGAGATGGCATCTTGCTCTGTTGCCCAGGCTGGAGTACAGGGGTGCAATCTTGGCTCACTGCAACTTCCACCTCCCAGTTTCAATCGATTCTCCTGCCTCAGCCTCCTGAGTAGCTGGGGTTACAGACTCCTGCCACCACACTCGGCTAATGTTTGTATTTTTAGTAGAGTTCGGGTTTCGCCATGTTGGCCAGACTGGTCTCAAACTCCTGACTTCAAGAGATCCGCCTGCCTCAGCTTCCCAAAGTGCTGGGAATACAGGCATGAGTCACCATGCCCGGTCTGCAATTTTTACTTTATAAATAAAGAAATTTATTTTTAGAAATAAAATTTTTATTTTTAGAAATAATATTTTTATTTTGTCTATCTCCAAAAAGATGATTCCTGGTTTTAAAATCCTGGATTTTTCCCACAGCAGCTAAGCAAATGCACATAACTTTCTAGTCTATTTCTAACAAAATCCAGGTAAGTGTATTGTAAATGCTTCTTTGCCATCTTGATTCAGCTCTTGGCCTCCATGCGGAGCACCCTGAGTAAACCTCTCTGGAAAGGGAGATTTTGGCAGGAGCTTTCTTCCTGGACAGGTAGATTAGGGCAGGAGCTTTCTTCCAGGAGCTATGCTGACGTCTTTCCACATAATTCTTCTTTCAGTTCTGTGATCATTGTGTATTGTTGGAATTCACTTGGAGTGGCTAGCAGAATATTAGGGAAACACTAAGGAAACTTATAGATTATAGTCTCAAACCTTTCGGAAGTCCAAAAGGTTTTATTGGGACAGGCTGAATGCAGCTGACTTATTAGGGAAAAGATAGAGACAATAAGAGGCCTTCTCTGTTAAGTCTGTTTACCCCACGTCCCTTTGTCTCTACTCTGTTTACTGATGTAAACTTTGTGCTGGATATCCCTCGGGGGAGGTGGGGGGGAATCAAAGGGAAATTATCCATTAATAGTGTGTACTCTGGGCCCCAGAACCTAAAGCTTTTATTTTTTATTTATTTTATTTTATTTATTTATTTATTTATTTATTTATTTATTTGAGATGGAGTTTTGCTCTTGTTACCCAGGCTGGAGTGCAATGGCGCGATCTCGGCTCACTGCAACCTCCGCCTCCTGGGTTCAGGCAATTCTCCTGCCTCAGCCTCCTGAGTAGCTGGGATTACAGGCACACGCCACTATGCCCAGCTAATTTTTTGTATTTTTAGTAGAGACGGGGTTTCACCATGTTGACCAGGATGGTCTCGATCTCTTGACCTCGTGATCCACCCGCCTCGGCCTCCCAAAGTGCTGGGATTACAGGCTTGAGCCACCACGCCTGGCCTATTTTTTTTATTTTTGGGATGGAGTCTCGCTCCTTTACCCAGGCTGGAGTGCAATGGCACTATCTCGGCTCACTGCAACATCTGCCTTCCAGGTTCAAGTGATTCTTCCACCCCAGCCTCTGTATAGCTGGGATTACAGGCACCTGCCATCATGTTCAGCTAATTTTTGCATTTTTGTAGAGATAGGGTTTTACCATGCTCACCAGGCTGGTCTTGAATTCCTGACCTCAGATGATCTGTCCACCTTGGCCTCCCAAAGTGTTGGGATTATAGGTATGAGCCACCGTGCCCAGCCCTAAAGCGTTTATCATTTGTAAAACCACCCTTTTAACCATGTTAATTATCCACAAGTGTGTTGACTTAGAACCTCTGTTAGGAAATCTTTACTGAATAAATGTGAGGATGGAACAGGGGTTCTTGGTTGATTGGCAGCAGTCGATCTCTGAAAGCAGCTGACGACCATCCCTAGCCCACTTGAGACACTGAAATAGGTGTGAGTCTGCATTTATTCATCCGCCGTTAAGTCAAGGTCTGCAGCTCTGCAGGTGGTGATCTACATCTCGGTATATTGTTCTCCTTTGGAGCATCTCCAAGAGGCTGCATCTTTCTCTGGATGTTTGCATTTGTTCCCATTAGACACTTTCTATCCTGTTTTTTTCTGATGACCCCCAGGTATCCTATTTTATTTCTAAGGAAAAATGGTGCCTTTTGCCAGAGGCATGTTTGTTTTCTTTTCTGCACCTATTTGTGATTCCTGACCTGTATGCTGATTTTTATTGCTTATGGGGAAGGGCCATGATATAATCAAATTACAGGCAAGCAAGCAGCTGCCTTAAGTCTTGACTTGGCTGAAAGTGTAGAAAACACCTGTGATTCTTGAGACCCTGGCCCACCATTTTACTCCATCATAGATACCTAGTCCGTAGCCCAGGGCAGGAGGCATTTTACACAAGACTCCACTATTGAGAGCACCAGTCCTCAGGAGTAGCTTTTCTTATCTGTCCCTCTCCCACACGGTTCAAGGTTACCCTCAGCCATATTCTCAACAAAGCTTACGATAGAATTCCCATTCCTGTTGTGTACCCTTGCAGTGCCTCTGAGTGGAATGCGGAGAAATGCAGTGGCTCCACTTTTGCTGTGTTTCTGAACATGTGTCTCTTGCTATCAGGACTTTCTGCTCATCTCTCTTGGCACACTGAGATCCTCCAACCTACTTGCACTCATCCCACTTCATATACTGGTTATCCATGGTACAGGAGACAGAATTAAACTGAGAGGACTTTTCCCTGACTCTGAACACATGTAGGAAATAATGATATGGAAGACCTTCAATTTGTAAGTCTTAAATAGACTGGTTGAGATAAATGGTCCCTGAAACATAAGAAATCAGGTTGCTGGGCACAGTGGCTCATGTCTGTAATCCTAGCACTTTGGGAGGCTGAGGCAGGCAGATTGCCTGAGCTCAGAAGTTTGCGACCAGCCTGGCTAACATGGAGAAACTGTCTCTATTAAAATACAAAAAATTAGCAGGGCATGGTAACACGTGCCTCTAGTCCTAGCTACTTGGAAGGCTGAGGCAGGAGAATCATTCGAGGCAGTGAGGGAAGAGACCCCTCTTTCCTGTGTCTTGTCTCAAAGGAGGAGGAAGTAAAAGTTGAGACATAGCAGGCATGAGGTCAGTGGCCAAGTCAGCTGATGCTGCTGAACTGGCCTGGAGGTTAAAGATTAAACCCCCCACTTTTAATTGCACTCCTATCTATAGATTGCAGGCTTCATATGGAGAAACGCCCTCCAGAAAGCATTGTTCTCTCTCAGTCTTGCTCAAACCCCCACTGGTCACGTATCCCGTGCCTACTTCATCAATCACGACCCTCTCAGATGTACTTCCTAGAACTGTAAGCCCTTGAAGGGGCTAGGATTTTCTTTGTCGGGGAGCTCGGTTCTTGAGACACAAGTCTGCCGATGATCCCAGCCGAATAAAGCCACTTCCTTCTTTAAATCTGATGTCTGGGAGGTTTCATCTGCAGCTTGTCCTGCTACATTTCTTGCTTCCCTGAGTGGGAAACAATAAGCCTTGTGGTCAGTGGACACAACCTCTTAGGCAATTTAATGCTGCCCTTTGAAGCATCCCTGCAGGGAACTCCAGCCCGCTTAGGTGACATGGGTCCTGAGAGTGCTCCCTGGTAGGCATTGGCCTTGGTGGAATGCCTTGTCAGAGCAGAGTGAGGCAGGCCACTGCAGGGGATCCACACAGAGTCTGAACACTGGAAAAGAACTGGCGTTGGGAGTCTGGATGTCAGGACCGGTCTTGGGAACTTGCCCACCCGCTCTGGGTGGAAGCGTGGCCTGATCCCCTACAGTGTGCCAGTCTCGGCACTCTGGATTTGATTTTGTTTCTCTGTAACTGGTTTCAGTATCCTGGACTTGTTTTGGTTTATATGTGGGTAGTAGTAATCTTGCAGTTATAGCCCCCTTACTCCCTCAGTCACCTGACTTGGTGCCTACTTATTCTAAGGAAGAGAATGACTTTTTTCCAGGCAGAAGGAGGGCAGGCAATAAAAGAGGGATGGAACCAGTCACTGGACAGAAGAATAGCTGTGCAACAGCTACATGGAACCACCTGCTTAGGCCAAGAATCACTTGAAAAGTTGCTAGGCTGCTGTTTCTACATCTCACATCTATCGGCTCTGGCCAAAACAGTAGCGTAGTGGTGCATCACTTGCTGAAAATACAATGGTAGGCAAGGTCCCACCGTCCTGCTTAGTATACCACTTGGTATACGAGCTTACGGAGCAGCCCCTTTTGACGATCTTCAAGTAGACTTCACGGAAATGCCCAAGTGTGGAGGTAACAAGTATTTACTAGTTCTCATGTGTACATATTCTGGGTGGGTAGAGGCTTATCCAACATGAACCGAGAAAGCCTGTGAAGTAACTCATGTGCTTCTCCAAGATTTCATCCCTAGGTATGGACAGCTATTGTGCATTGGCTAGTGTTTGTTTGTGGCAGATTGGTTTAGAAGACAGCAAAAGTGTTGGGGATCACCTGGAAGTGGCACACTGCCTACTGACCACAGAGTTCTGGAAAGGTGAAGCGTATGAATTGGACTATCAAAAATGGCTTCAGGAAAGTGTGTCAAGAAACAGGATTAAAGTGGATATGGGCACTCCCCATGATATTGTTTAAGATTAGATGCACCCCTTCAAGAAGACAGGATATTTCGCTTATGAGATACTGTACCATAGACCCCCTCCCATACTACAGGGACTCTCAGGGACTCCTAGAGAATTAGGTAAGATGGAACTGTAGCAATAGCTACAGGCTTTAGGGAAAATTACCCAAACCATTTCAGCTTGGGTTAATGAAAGATGCCCAGTAAGCTTATTCTCCCCAGTTCACCCTTTCTCGCCAGGTGATCACGTACGGATTAAGGACTGGAATGTAGCCCCCCTGAAGCCATGGTGGAAAGGACCCCAGACCATAATCCTGCCCACTCCCACAGCTATGAAGGTGGAAAGAATCCCAGCTTGGCTCCACCACAGCCACATAAAAGTTGCAGCAGCTGAGACTTGGGAGGTGGAATTGGATCCGGACAACGCCTGTAAAGTGATCCTGTGGAAGACGGCAAGCCTTGCGTCAGCCACACCCTGGAAGCTGGCTGGTCTACACAGGAAGCACGGGGAAATTCATCATGGGACTCATTCTCTTTCTAATTTGGACTGATGCAATAAGGACTTTAAGTGACTTTGAGGACTGTTTTCAGTGTATACATCAAGTTACTGAGATAGGACAGAAGGTCACTGCAATTCTCTTGTCCTATAGCTATTATGGATATACAGGAACTCAAAAGTGGACTTGTTTGTATAATGGCATGTACAAGGTGTATAGTTCAGGGATGGGTAGCCTACTGTCTGCTATGACCCCTTTGAACTTGCCCCCCCCAATGTCTACTGTTTTTGAAATAAGGCTCAGGACAGGCTTTTGGGGTGACCCAAACAAGGTAATAGCTAGGACAGAGGAAAAAGGAATTCCCAAGCAAATCACCCTGAACTTCGATGGTGTGAAAACAAATATCTGCCAAGAAATGTACTGGTGTCAGGAAGGTACCTACTGCTCATGTATAGTTTCTTGGAAAAGAATGAGAATGACCCCGTCCTTCTTTGGAAGGGAGAGAAATAATCCCTCCTGGACACTGTAATCCATTAGGACTAATAATTACTAATCCCTTAAACCCCTGTTGGAAAACAGGGAAGCAGGTTACCTTAGGGATTGATGAGACTGGACTCAACCCACAGGCTGAGATTCTAATTCAAGGGGAAGTCCAAGGTGCCTCACCAAACCAGTATACCAAACTTTTTATGATGAGTTAGGAGAGCCAGTACCAGAACTCCTGAATAAGACAAAGAATTTGTTCCTTCAAGCAGTTGAAAATGTAGCCCATTCTCTTAATGTCACCTCTTGTTATATATGTGGGGGAACTACCATAGGAGACCGATGGCCCTGGGAGGCCGGAGAGCTGGTGCCTTCCGATCCTGCTCCTAACATAACCCAGTTCAGAGCATCCAGACTGACAACTTCTGGGTCCTAAAGACCTCAATCATTGGACAGTACTGCTTGGCTAGAGAAGGGAATGACGTCACCGTCCCTGTAGGAAAACTTGGTTGTCTAGGACAAAGGCTGTACACTGAGACGGCAAGAGCAGTTACCTGGTGGGGTTCAAACCACACCGAAAAGAACCCACTCCAGAAATTCCCCAAGTTGCAAGCTGCAAGGGCCCATCCTGAATTCTGTCGAGATTGGATGGCTCCTGCTAGACTGTACTGGATATGTGGGCATAGAGCCTATGCCAAGTTACCTGACAGATGTACAGGCAGCTGCGTCATTGGCACCATTAAGACATCCTTCTTCCTGTTGCTGGTGAAGACAGGTGAATTATTAGGCTACCCTGCATAGAGGCTTCCCAAGAAATGAGGAGCCTGGCCATAGGTAATTAGAAGGATGACGAGTGGCCCCCTGAAAGAATCAACAGTACTATGGGCCTGCCACATGGGCACAAGATGACTCCTGGGGCTATCGGACCCCCATTTACATACTTAATTGGATCATCCAATTGCAGGTTGTCTTAGAAATAATCACTAACGAAACTGGCAAAGCCTTGACTCTTTTAGCCCGGCAAGAGACCCAAATGAGAAGAGGTCATCTGTTCTGATAGATGGCATTTCTCATTTGGGTAGTGCTGGTAGCTGAAGGAATGGTTTGTGGAAAGTTCAATCTGACAAACTACTGTCTGCATATAGACAAGCAGGGTCAGGTAGTTGAAAACATCGCAAGAGATGCATCAAAACTGGCACGCGTGCCTCTGCAGGTTTGGCATGGGTCTGATCCAGAATCTATATTTGGGAAATGGTTCCCAGCTTTAGCAAGATTTAAAATAGCACACCCTCATCATAGGTGTACTATTGATAACAGTACTTGCTTACTACTCCCCTGCTTGCTACCCTTGCTTCTCTAAATGATTAGACGGTTTGTTACCACTGTAGTTCACCAGAAGACTTCATTGCAAGTATACTACTTGAATCACTATCGACCGGTCTCACAGAACGACCTAGAATGTGAAGGTCAGGATGAGAATTCCCACTAGTAAGTAAGTGAGGTTCTCAAAGGGAGGAAATAAGAGAAGAGATCCCTCTTTCCTGTCTCTTGTCTCAAAGGAGGAGGAAGTAAAAGTTGAGACATAGCAGCGATGAGGTCAGTGGCAAGGTCAGCTGGTGCTACTGACCTGGCCAGGAGGTTAAAGATTAAACCCCCCACCCTTAATTGCACTCCTATCTATAGAACACGGTGTAATATGGAGAAACACCCTCTGGAAAGCATTGTTCTTGCTCAATCTACTTATCCATCATGACCCTCTCACATGTACTTTCTAGGACTGTAAGCCTTTAAAAGGGCTAGGATTTTCTTTGTTGGGGAGCTCGGTTCTTGAAACTCAAGTCTGTTGATACTCCCAGCCAAATAAAGCCACTTCCTTCTTCAAATCTGGTGTCCTGGAGATTTGTTTCGCTTGCGGCTTGTCCTGTTACAGCCGATGTAGCAGTGAACCAAGATTTGTGCCACTGCATTTCAGCCTGGGCAACAGTGAGACATAGTCTCCAAAAAAAAAAAAAAAAAAAAAAAAAAAAGAAGAAATCAGGCTTAGAGATGAAGATAAGGAAGATGAATGGTGGTGATGTGAAGGAGCTAACAGCTACTTGTCGTCATGACATAAAGGAACTATTCAGAACTAGCACCCACAATTCTACTTGCTCAGGGCCACTGACCTTATAGAGATCTCAGACATATTCTTGTTCAGCCTTAAAGTGCTTAAAGTCCAATCTTTCCACTGGCTTGGGTCTTTGCCACTTTCTGTGGCCAACTCTGAGGTTGTCAAGTTCTTCTACAAATAAATCTGTTACAAGTTATTCATCTGGGAGTTTTGTAATGTCTTAATTAATGCCAATGTAGTATTTGATTATTTATGATAGGAGTGGTTAGGTGTGGGGAATCTGATAATAGCTAGTAGGACAGATAGATTCTTTTTCTTTTTTTTTTTAAATAACAGGTCTCATTTTGTCTCCAGGGATTGATGGAGTGAAGTGGAGTGAATGTGGCTCACTGCAGCCTTGACCTTCTGTGCTCAAGTGGTTTTCCTGCCTCAACTCCTCAAGTAGCTGGGACTACAGGCACATGCCACCATGCGCAGCTAATTTTTGTATTATTTTTTGGTAGAGATGGGGTTTTACCATGTTGCCTAGGCTGGTCTCGAACTCTTGGGCTCAAGTGATTCACCAGCCTTGGCCTACCAAAGTGCGGGGATTACAGATGTGAGCCACTGTGCCTGGCCTAGATGCTTTCATACAAGCTTTTCAATTACGCATTTTCCTTAAGTAGGAAGTCTTAGGATCCAAGTTATATCTGATTGCTACAGTCTCCGTTCCCATATTCTATCCCTATTTCTGATTTTTCAGTGGTGAGCTACCATATCAAGGAACTCATTCTGGGCTTTGTTACGTGGCTGAGTTGGCTGGACAAGTGCCAGGTTTGATCCTGGAACTGTGGCATGTGATGGCATACACCCCCTCTCCACATTCTGTATGTCTCTAGTGGGGAGGGGGAAGCTGGCCGTAGAACTTGATTGTATTTTCTGATTGCCTCACTTTAATAGCCCCCCGGGCACTCCTTTGTTCCCAAATTAACCAGAGACAGTGCTTCCTAGAACCAACCTTACAGGAAACAAAGGGATAAACAAAGCCAAATGGGAAGCAGGATCATGCTCTGAACTCTTTCTGGACAGAGAACAATACCTGGTATGGACTAGATACTGGGGAGGAAAAGGAAAAGTAAGGTGAATTGCGGAAGGAAGCTGGCAGGCTCAGCGTTTCTGTCTTGGCATGCTCAGTCTCTTTTCATTCTCTTCCTAGATGCAGGGCTTGGTTCCAGAGCCCCTGAGGCTTTCTGCGTGAATATAAAGAGGCGAAGCTGAGGGATGCTTCCATTTCAGGTTCTTGGGGGCAGCCAAAATGATGTCCTTTGTCCCTCTGCTCCTGGTGGGCATCCTGTTCCCTGCCATCCCTGCCAAGCAATTTACAAAATGTGAGCTGTCCCAGGAGCTGAAAGCCTTGGATGGTTATAGAGGCATCTCTTTGCCTGAATGTGAGTTCCCTGCTCCCTCATTTCATCCGTTCCTCGTGTGTTTCTCTCCTCCATCCCCTCCTTCCTCCACTTTCACTTAATTATTGAATCATCTTTTCTGCTCATTTGCATGCTCTTTTATTTCATGTATTTATTTGTGATTATTATTATTATTATTATTTTTGAGATGGAGTTTCTCTCTTGTTGCCAGGCTGAAGTGCAGTGGTGTAATCTCAGCTCATGCAACCTCCACCTCCAGGGTTCTAGTGATTCTCCTGCCTCAGCCTCCTGAGTAGCTGGAATTACAGACGCCCACTACTATCATGCCTGGCTAATTTTGTATTTTTCATAGAGACGGGGTTTCACCGTGTTAGCCAGGCTGGTCTCAAACTTCTGACCTCAGGTGATCTGCCTTCCTCAGCCTCCCTAAGTGCTGGAATTACAGGCTTGAGCCTTCTCACCCAGGCCCTTTTATTTTCCTATCCTTTCTTTCTCTTATTGTCTGATTTTTTTTTTTTTTTTTTTGAACTCTCCGTCTCATCTCATCAAGGTACTCTGAGCTTTGCCATCTTTGGAGATTGACTGGAAAGCATTTTTATGTCCGAGAACGACAGTTCCTCCTTTATGCGGGTCATGGACATCTCTGTGATATCTCTTTCTCATCTTTCCCTCAGTCATCTGTACCGTGTTTCACACCAGTGGTTATGATACACAAGCCATAGGTGAAAACAAGGGCAGCACGGAATATGGACTCTTCCAGATCAATAATAAGCACTGGTGTAAGAGCAACCAGATCCCTCAGTCAAGGAATATCTGTGACATCTCCTGTGACAGTGAGTAACCCCTATAACCCTGTTTCTCTGTTTTTCTGAGGCCTGCCCCTGGGATAATCTCCTTTTTAGTGTCAAGCAGACCTCAGGCTTCATTGCCTTGCCTGGGCTCTACAAAAATTGTGGGACTTAAATTGGCAGTACTGAGGAAGAAGCAAGAAGTAAGTAATCTGGATTTTTCGTGGTCACCGAATCCCCAGACAGTTCTCTGAGGTTTGCGGGTAGACAATCTGAGCTGTCTGAGAGTCTTGGAGTATGATTCTCTGCATTTTCAGGATAAGTCAGTAGATGAAGCTGATGATTCCTCCAGAGATATTCTAGGGAAATTAAGGAAGTCCCTTACCCAGGGTTAGACATTACCATATTGGTCCTTTCATATAGAAAGACAACAGGCACAAGCCTTGAGTTTAGAGAACCTACTGGATCCAGGGATTAGACGAACTCATTGCCTTTCTGGGTAATACTTCTCAGCTCTCTCATTCCTTTCCCTGTAACTCCTGCTAGAGTTCCTGGATGATGACATTACTGATGACATAATGTGTGCCAAGAAGATCCTGGACATTAAAGGAATTGACTACTGGTGAATCATTATTCTATTTGCTGTTTCCCATCTTCCTTCCCCTTACCCCAGTAGCACAGCACCACTCTTCTCTCACTCTATCTCCTGGTCATTTAATCTAGAATATAGTCTCCAAAACAAAACTTACCTAGAGACTCAGGTTTCCATGTTTAAGTCTCCCTGACTCCACTCCTTGGTAGTAATTTTCCTACAAAGGGGTTGCCTGATGGAGGGCTCAGACCCAGGTCTCCTTTCACCTAGACTTGGACATCTTATTCCACTTGTTTAGTTCTATACCCTAAAGTAAGCTGTTGGTATCACTGCATATCTTTTCTAACCCAACAATTTTCTTGGATTATTTTTTATGGACTGTATTCCACTTGATGGCTTGTGTCCCTTGCCATCCGGCCAGGAGTGTCTCTCTATAATTCTCATCCACACTCTTCCACTTCAGCCCTCCTGGGAATAAATCTAGGTGGAAATTCAAGCCAAGATCCAGTCAGCTAACTCACCTTGTCCCCTTCTTCATTATCAGGTTGGCCCATAAAGCCCTCTGTGCTGATAACCTGGAACAGTGGCTTTGTGAGAAGTTGTGAGTGTCTGCTGTCCTTGCCAGTCCTGCCCGGTCCACACTCCTGGAATGCCTCTTCCCTAATGCTACCTCAGTTTGCTTCTTTCTGTTCCTCTAAAGCTTATCTGACTCTAAGCCTTGGGCCCTGTAGTGACACCACTGAACTCTTGGGGACTATTTTCCAGGAATGCCTGAGTGGTGCACTGAGCTCTAGACCCTTGCTTAGTGTCCCCGATGACACTTTCACTACAGCGCAGATTTCACCTCTGTCTTAAATAAAGGGCCCAATTTGGAGTCACTAGCTGTATTTTTTTTTTCCTCTGGAGGGAAGGGGAAGAAATAGGGTGAGGATATGGACTCTGAAGCCATGGGTCATAGCCATCTTCCATCTCTACTGCAGAAGTAGGCTGAATTTACAATAGAAAGGTGAAGGTTACTTCCTATACCAATTCAATGCAACGAACTTTTACTGATCACCTAATCTATTCAAGAAACTGTGGAGAGATCCAAAGTTGACTGAACACTGGTCAGGCATGGTGCTAACGCCTGTAATTCCAGCACTTTGGGAGGCTGAGGTGAGTGGATCACTTGAGGTCAGGAGTTCGAGACCAGCCTGGCCAACATGGCCAAACCCCATCTCTACCCAAAATACAAAAATTAGTTGGGTGTGGTGGCTGGCACCTGTAATTCCAGCTACTCGGGAGACTGAGACAGGAGAAGAATTGTTTGAACCTGGGAGGTGGAGGTTGCAGTGAGCCGAGATCGTGCCATTGCACTCCAGCCTGGGCGCTCCATTCTCAAAACAAACAAAACCCCCAAAACATGAATTTGGCTGAATGGCCTCTTTCCTCAAGGACTGATGGGAGAGACATGTTAAACATTAATAAATAGTTATACTGTAAGAAAGAGAGTTATAAGCATCATGAGAAAGGTCAGAAATGTGCCCTGGGCATTCACAAAAGAAAAGATAATTTATATTTGGAGGACATGTTGGGAAAAGGAATCAAGAAAGGATTCCTGAAAGGGAGAGCATTTAGGCTGGTTTTAAAGTCTGTGTGGGATTTTGACAAGGGGCGATGTGGGTGGGAAAAGGGAGAGCATGGGTGGGAACCCAAGAATCTATAATGGGGGACTTGAGGGGTTGAGGATTTTCTTTACCTTTCATGAGGAGCTGTGAAAGGAACTCTCCCTGTCTCTGGAAACCAGAGACAGAACAGGGGCCCTGACAATCAGCTCAGCGATGCTGAAGAATCTAAGAATTTGGGGCCTTTGGGTTTGGACCCTCCACTCCATTATTCTTTCTTGCGCTTTGCTTGTTTTTAAGGAGAATGTTTGGAGGACTTCATTCATTTTAATAATTATGGGATATGTGAAAGAAGAAGAGTCAGGAAATTTGGGTCCTAAAATCTGTTTCTGCTACTCATTGATGGTCTGAACCTGGGCAGGTCATCTCCATTCTCTGTGCCTCAGTTTTCTCATCTTAAAATGAGGGTTTTGGTTTAAATGGTTTTCTGAGACCAATTCCTGCCTTAAAATCCAGCTTTCCAAACTACAATTTAATTTGCCACACTCTGAAGGAACTGAGAATGACATTCACGTTGTTGCTCAGCTCCACGGCCCTGGCCTTCATCCCACAGAGAAGACAGGAAGTTCACCTGTGAGAAGTGCACCATATATGAGTTCACGATCTTCAGGAGCCTTTGCTGAAGGAACGGACAATAAGAGATTTAACTGTAGAGAGAACCTTAGCCTGAGGTCAGAAGATCAAGAGCAGACAGAAGCCAGGGAACTGATATGAAAGAAGTCTTCTTCTTTTTTTAAAGCATTCATTTGTTACAGTGGGTTATGATACAAATATTGATAGATGCCTACTCTGTACTTGTCCTACAGAGCAATTTTTATGTGTTTCTACTCAGTTTAATTTTAGCGTGTTGAATTGTAAAATAATCCGTGTATTAAATCAAATAAATAAACAAAATGCCATGTTCTTTGTTACAAGCAACACTACAAAAGGCATTTGGAATTCTCAGGCAAATTCTCTCTTGTTCCTAGCCTGTACTTATTTTCCCCTCATTGGCTTATATATATTTTTTTCTTATTTATTTATTTTTTTTTTGGATGAAGTTTCACCCTTGTTGCCCAGGCTGGAGTGCAATGGCATAATCTCGGCTTACTGCGAACTTTGCCTCCTGGGTTCAAGCGATTCTTCTGCCTCAGCCTCTGGAGTAGCTGGGATTACAGGTGTGTGCCATCGTGCCTGGCTAATTTTTGTATTTTTTAGTAGACACCAGGTTTCGCCATGTTGGTCAGGCTCGTCTTGAACTCCTGACCTCAAGTCATCAACCCATCTTGGCCTCCTGAAGTGCTGGTATTACAGGTGTGAGCCACCGTGCCCGGCCTCTACATTTTTTTATTTCAATGTCTAATGTGGTGTTCACTGAATTATGAATTCTTTTGAGAAAATAAATCAATGAATCTATACATTGCCTTCTTTATCCAGTGAGGTATGGCTAGATCATCTTTATGACATATACATCAGCAGTATTCTTCATCTCCTCCTCCTCCTCCTCCTTTTTTACAAATAAAAATCGTATATGTTGAAGGTGTACAACTTGATGTTTTCTTACATGTACACACTTCAAGCATGCTAATGAACGTATCATCACCTCACATGGTTACTTTTCTTTTTCTTTTGGCATGGAAGCAGCCTTGATAGATAGATGCGGTTCCCTTGGCACTTGGGTAGAAGCAGAATAGGAAACCGCTGTTCTCTTCCTGAGAACTTTCTTGAGAGCCGAATAGGAGGCAGCATGGCTGCTGAGCATCTGTTCTGCTTTCTCCACCTCCTCTTTCCTTTAGACCTAACATGAAGCTCTAAGCCAAGCAGAAGGCTGAGGTCATCCAGACTACTGTGGGAGGTGGGGCGGCTCCAGGGAGTGGCTCTCAGAGAGCAGACCGTTACTGAACTCTGCGTGAGCGACTCCGGATGGTGCACAGCATGGCAGTTTTGTCCCTTCCTCTTACCCTGCTTTCTCCTCCCTGCTACTCTTCCCTGACACCTATCTTGTTATGAAGGCAGGAATTGTATCAGTTAAAATCAAATATTTCTTTCTTTCTTTTTTTTTCAGACCAAGTTTTGCTCTGTTGCCCAGGCTGGAGTGCTGTGGCATGATCTTGGCTCACTGCTACCTCCGCCCCCCTATTTCAAGCCATTCTCCTGCCTCAGCCTCCTGAATAGCTGGGATTACAGGCATGTGCCTCCACGGCCAGCTAACTTTAGTATTTTCAGTAGAGATGGGCTTTCACCATGTTGGCCAGGCTGGTCTTGAACTCCTGACCTCAAGTGATCCTCCCACCTCAGCCTCCCAAACTGCTAGGATTACAGGTGTGAGCCACGACACTTGGCCTCAAATAGTTATTTCATGTTTCTCCTCCCAGTCCTCCTTCTCTCTCATTCATTGACTTTTTTCATTTATTGAACACTAATTGAGAGCCTATTAGGCGACAGGAGGTACTAGACCCAGGGACACCGAAGTTATTAGAGGTTTTGCTCTTAAGACCCTTATACTTTAAAGGGAGATACTCACCTCCTCCCATTTCTTGGGATCATGCAAAAGAAAAGACTTCAGGTGATCCACATTCATTTTTTTCCTTCACCCCTTGATTTGTCACCAAAAGGTTATTGGGGATATGCTATTTTCTTGGCACTACTTTATTTATTCGTTTATTTAGACATGGAGTCTCACAACATTGCCCTGTGGACAGCAGTGGCTGTCCACAGGGTGAGCACAGCACACTACAGCCTCAGACTCCTGAGTTTAAGTGATCTTCCTGCTTCAGTCTCTCGAGGAGCTGGCACTATAGGATGTACCCCCACACCTGGCTTAGGCTCTATTTTAGTTGCTACTTGTTAAGGATGAAGACAGGAGGAGACACTCTTATTTTAGTTGATTTGTTTCTAAGTTGTTATGGGATGTAGATCTTACCAGGGACCTTTTGGCATGAGAACAGAAGAGGAGTTAGGTCACAGTGCCAAGATGGGACTATCTCAGAATCCAGCAGGACATTTGCTAGTGGTCTGATAGGTTGATTTACCTTTTGTGCATAGACATAAGTAAAAGGGAGAGGGAGAGGCAGGAAGAAGAGAGGCCAAAAAAGGCAAGAAATGAGAGGAAAAAGCAGTAGCTATAGAAATGGCCAGGGATGCCCCGAGGATTTTCTTGTTTAGTGACTGGGCCCCCTGTGATGGGTGCCTCCTGCTCTGGGACTTCTTATTGCCCTTGGCTGGGAGCAGGGCACTCGAGGAAGAGAAACGAAGGTCTCTGTTTTGGAAAGATGAATGCTGAGACAGCCGAGTGGTGACAGCTCTTCCTCCCTCCTCTTCTCCCCATAACGTTTTCTCCTGCTGAGGCAGGGGTGCTGGACTGCAAGGGAAGCTTGGACTTCCTGGCTAGTATCTTCCTCAGAGCCACCTTTACTTCTTGGTTCTTCAGGCTGTAGACGAGGGGGTTCAGCAGGGGCGTTATCACACTGTACTGCACAGACAGTACTTGCTCTAGGGCTGAGCCAGATGCTGGAGTCATATACCTTGAAGGGAATTGCACAGACAAGCGGTTTATGACAATAGTGACAATGCTTACTTTTGGCAGCAACAATCCATCCCCTCCCTGCAAAGACTCTGCAACGGGGGTCTTCAGAGCTGAGCTGACGTTCTCTGGTGGCAGCATCTAGAAATGGCTGATCTGTGAAAAGTCAGTCATTTCTGCCTTCAAATACTTCCAAACATGAGTGAGCTCACACAGAAAGTTATAGAAGCTGCTCTGAGGAACAAACAGTTCTACAGCGTATCAAGGGCTGCAGGTTAGAACACAATTAATATTTGGGACAGATAAAAAGTAAAACAAAAAAATAAATAGAATTAATGATAATTTTATACATTTCCATAGCATTTCATACTCTTCAAAGCATTCTTTCTTAATAAATATGATGATCATAAGAGGAGTTTCTCCCATTATTATTATTATTATTATTATTATTATTTTTGAGACAGAGTCTCACTCTGTCACCAGGGGCCAGGCTGGAGTGCAGTGGCCCAATCTTGGCTCACTGCAACCTCTGCCTTCTCGGTTCAAGCAATTCTCCTGCCTCAGCCTCCCGAGTAGCTGGGACTACAGGCACACGCCACCACGCCCAGCTAATTTTTGTATTTTTAATAGAGACGGGGTTTCACCATGTTGGCCAGGATGGTCTTGATCTCTTGACCTCCTGTTCCTCCCACCTCAGCCTCCCAAAGTGCTGGGATTACAGGCATGGGCCACTGCTCCCGGCCGAGTTTTTTCTTTATACACAACAGTACATAAACACAATGTTCTCATCTTGTGATGACTGTTCGTGTAACACTGTATGCTTAGGTCAAAATGTTGTCATTATTCCCAACTTTTAGGGCCCTGGGAATTACCCTCAGAATCCTTGCATATTATTTGTATAAAGTTTAGTGGAACAAACATTTGTCCTTTTAGCTGCATTTTTCTTTGGTTTAAAAAAGAAGCCCAAACTGGTAAAATGGGAAAGAAAACGTGTTAAGCATATAATATGATTCCAAAATAATAAGATTAAAATGCTGGGTACATTTTGCTAATTACTACTGGGAGTATTTTCCAAAGAAGCGATAGTATTATTATCTTTTTGCAATGGCGCATTCATTATTATAATAGACTATCCCAAAAATGTTCCTTGTGAGTTCTGATGTGTTTGATTATTTTAAAAAAATAGTCATTTTACTGCTATTTTTTGTTATCTAACTTACGCTTCCTAAAATTTCTATGAAGTAAGTACTTATATCCCGTACAGAAGATGAGAAAATGGGGACAAAGGGAGATGAAGAGGTTGGTGCACAGCTCAGCTGAGCTCTCCGGGACTATTTTTCTTGTTTCTTTTACCTGTTTTTTTTCTTTCCTAGCTACTAGACTACAGGTACTGGACTACTTCTTATCATCCATCTCTATCCTTGACTTCTCTCTGAATCACAGGCAGGTGAGAAAAGCATCGAACAGTTTGTGCAAATCCACCTTCACTTTACTAGTAGAAAGCACAGGCGTTGATGATTTTGTCTCCTGGTGAGGGAGGACTTGGCAGCCGGAGCTGTGGACATTTGAGAAGCATGGTAAGCAAGGGCACAGATCTTGGTCCAACTTACGGTTCCATTACTAGTTTGTTCTGGGACTGCTGAGAAATAACCTGATTACTCCCCAAACTCAGGTTCTTTACCTAAAAGTGGTTTGATAATATTTCTCTTGTAGTGTGATGCAAACTAAAATTGGCTTGGCCATGTAAAGCAGCCTAGTAAATGCCTAGTAAATTGCTACAACATAAATAATTTTTGGAGACATCTCCCAGTAGGAAAAAAAGATGGCATCTGTTTCAAAGATAGGTTTTATTTTTTTTGTCTAGCACTGAATAAAAATCTACTGAAGGCTCTCTAATTTCTTTTTGAGAACTCCCAAATCTTAGGTTAATGAAGTAGAAAAATCTTTATCTTAGTCTAAACTCATTTTCCAGAACGGACAATTGAAGCCTTAGAAAGAAAATAGATTTTTTTTTCAATTGAGACCTAGTCTCACTCTGTCACCCAGGCTGGAGTGCAGTGGTGCAATTTCCGCTCACTGCAACCTCTGCCTCCGAGGTTGAAGCAATTCTCCTGCCTCAGCCTCCCGAGTAGCTGGGATTACAGGTGCATGCCACCATGCCTGGCTATTTTTTATATTTTTAGTAGAGACGGGGTTTTGCCGTGCTGCCCAGGCTGGTCTTCAACTCCTGGGCTCAAGTGATCCACCCACCTCGGCCTCCCAAAGTGCTGGAATTACAGGCATGAGCCACTGCATCCAGCTGAACATAGATTCTTTGCAATTCATGCAGCTAGTCCACAGCAGAGCCGGAACTAGAGCCTAGGCAGTTTGAATGTCCTGCTATTTTGTAATGCTCTATTCTACCAACTGAGACCACTTAAGGGTAAGGAATATCCCACATTTATATTCGGGGGTGTAGTATGACATACCTGAAAATTCCTGAACTATAAAAGATTGTGACCACGAGGAAATGAGAAGAGCAGGTGGAGAAGATCTTGCTCCGACCTGCGGCAGAGTTGATCCTCAGGGCTGTAATGATGATACGGCTGTAGGAACCCAGCAAAAGGACAAGGGTGCCAAGGCCCAGGACTGCCATGGTGGTGAGGATGGAGGTGATGCTAGCGCAGGGGTCAGAACAGGTCAATGAGAGCACTGGAGGAAGCTCACAGGCAAAACTGCGGATGAGGTTAGGGCCACAGAAGTGCTGCTGAGCCAGGAGGAGGGTGTTAATTAGGCCAGTCCCCATTCCTATGGCCCAGGACGTCCCCACCAGGCCAGCACACACCCTCCTGTTTATAACCACCACATACAACAGTGGATGACATACAGCCTGAAACCGGTCATAGGCCATGACCAAAAGGAGGCAAGCCTCAGTAGCTCCAGAGCATATGACCAGGGAAATCTGGGTGAAACACTCAAGGAAGGATATTGTCTTCCCCTTAGAAAGAAGGTTCTCTAGCAGTTTAGGTACAATAATTGAGGAATAGAAAGCATCCAGGAAGGAGAGGTGTCTCAGGAAGAAGTACATGGGGGTGTGGAGGTGGGGATCAGTACTGATCACCAGCAGCATCAGCAGGTTCCCCAGGAGAGTGAAGAGGTAAACCACCAGGAACAGAACAAAGAGCAGCGCCTGGACCTGAGGGTTGCTGGACAGTCCTAGGAGAACAAACACAGTGACTGTGGTCATATTGCTGACTTCCATGGAGCACTCAAGGTTCCCTTCGAACTGAAAAGGATGCTCCAGTGGGCTAGCGGTGTCAGGGCTGAGGCACTGGCACTCAAGCTTCCGGGCAGACCCAGGACAGATTCTGTAGCAGAGGGGGCCTTGCTGTGTCAGGCTGTGTCAGTCCTTTCCAGCTCAGAGCAGTAACCTATTGGCCATGATGGAGAAGGTGGGAGGAGAAGTTCAGAGAATCAGACCTAGAAAGGAAGGAGAAGAGAGCAGGGATTATTCAGAGTGGAGAAGGAAGGGGAGGGAATTGGGACTCCTGAGCGCTGAGAAGTGCTATTCTCCACTTCCAAAAAGAACTGAGCGCAAACCGCAGGAGGGCTGACTGGCATAGTGAATAAGCAATAAACATTCTGGCTGACCATCTGGGTGGCAGACCATGATGAGTGTCTGAGTGAATGACAGAAGGATTATGAGACCTGGCCATGGTGCAAGTTCTGTCTGTCACTGTAAGCTCATAAGCCACTTAAGTTTCTAAAAAAAAAAAAAAAAAAAAAAAAAAAGATGGTTTCTAAAGTTCGTTCCAGCTTAGACTTTTTGTTTGTTTGTTTGTTTGTTTGTTTGTTTTTTTTGAGACAGGCTCTCACTCTGTTGCCCAGGCTGGAATGCAATGTCATGATCTCAGCTCACTGAAGCCTCCGCCTCCTAGGTTGAAGCTATTCTCATGCCTCAGTCCAGCTTAGATTAAAAAAAAAGAATTTAATTTCTCATTTAATTTTTTTCTAGAGATGGGGTCTCACTGTATTGCCAGGCTGGTCTCAAACTCCTGGCTTTAAACGATCATTCTTCCTCAGAATTCCAAAGTGCTAGGATTACTGGTGTGAGTCACCATGCCTGCTACCAGCTTAGAAATAAATAAGATGGGGAAACAGTCTTTATGGGGTGTTTCTGGTACTAAATAGAAGCCCCTTCTCCCTTTCTATGTCAATCTAAGCAGAAATGACACATGAGTATATTGGTTTCTAGGAAGTCAGGCAGGGGGAGTCCCTGGAATGGAGATGAGGACTATGAACGTCAGTCATTCCAATGCCTTCTCATTCCAGCATTTCTGTGAATTTATGACGTCCACTGTTTTCACAGCAATCTCAGGACTTAACATGGGTGTCCACAAAGACTGGGCTATTCTTTGGAATATTTGGAAAAATATTTGGAAAAAGCCAAGTCAAACTTGGATCATTTTTGTCCATCACAGGGAAGTTAAAGAATAGGGGTGAAAAATGAGAGAACACCTGGTAAAATGGATAAAGGATTTAGTCTAGACCAGAAGAAGGTAAAGTGGCTAGTCCCCTTCCCCTTGATGGTTAACTCAGGAAGGTTATCAATGAGCATCTGATCTCGATTCATGACTTGTACCCTCCTGGGTTCCCAGAGTGTTTTAGGAGAAGACTGATTTGAATGAGAAGGAAATTTGCCTTCACTTGGACTCCCTAGATCAACAAGATGCCCTGAGTGGAGGCCCCTTATATGGCATCCTTTCCAGGAGTGGAGGAAAAGACACAGATAGGAGAGGGCTCTGTGGGCTTTCCTCGACTTTGTCTTTCCTTTAGAGAATGCAGGGGTGAAACTTCTGAGCAAGGAAATATCCCCATAGTCTGTCTGTCCAAGGGGAAGCCTTGATTCTACCTCCGAAATAACAATGGCCAGAGGGACTTGATCTCAGCTCTAGGCCTTGGAGACTGAGGGAGGTCCCTGGAGAGGTCCTTAAGCAGAAGCCTGCTCTGATTCTGAACGGGTTCTCCAGGGTCAACTACTTCTCCTTTTTATCATTCTTGTTTCAGTGGGTTGCATCATCAAGGGGGCCCTAGGGTGGCCAACAATTTCATTTTTTCAGGTCTACTATTATTTTTTTGCATGTACGTTTGAAAAAAATAATTTTTTAATGGTATTTTCAACTTACACACTATTCCCATTGAACATGTGTAGCTGCTTAACTACCCGAATATAAAGTTTAAGAAGTTAAAACTATTCTAATTTTGTTAAAAGAAAAATTGTTTTATTGTTAAAATGGTTAACAAAGGAAAGCACCACTGAAACCGTAATGTTACAATCTCTTCGTTCAATTGGATTATGGGTTGGTCAAACATTAGACTTCTCACAGGCATAGCTATGATGCAGTAATTTCTTGAAAGAAGATGAAACGCTCAAACTGTAAGAGTTATTGCCGAGTTTAAGACAAAGAAACCGAGGCCAGTATAAGAAATTAAATGCCAATTTATTCAGCTCCCAGCGGAGGTTCTATGGTCGGGGGCGGGGGGCGGCGCGGAGCAGGGCTATGAGGACCGAACAACAGTAGGGTGCTCTGATTGACTCCAGGGGAGCGGGATTGGGATGGGGTGGGCCGCTATTGGTTGGCGGGTTTGTTGGGCGGGTTATTTGGTGCCAGAGCTGGCCAGGGTTTCATCAGCCCTAGTCTTCCAGCGGAACCGTGCGCAGAGCTAAGTGCCTGGTGCAGAGCCAGGTTCCCGGTGCAGAATAGGTGGGTGTGTCGGACCTTCTGGCCAGGCAACCGGCCTTACACAAATCACATACTCCTTCAGATGTAACATTAAGAGCAGAATTTAACATTTTCAACTTAATATACTATAAAAGCCAGGACCAGTTCTCATCTGATCCCCACCTTGTAACTTCAGTAACTAAAGACATACTGGTCTACAGTGAATTATTTCAAATTAACTAACAGGCCTTGGTCAGAAAGAGGAGATTCTTCTTGATGGGGAGAAATGTAAATTTCAGTCTGAACTGAGAAATCTGCTTAACAGTTAGAACTTAATTTGTATTTCTGCATTTAAAAAACGTGTGCATTAACAAGTGTTAGTTAACCCTAAGGAATCATTTTAGTTTCCAAAAAGTCAATCCAAATCTTCCAATAAAAGAGAACCCCATCTGCTCAAACGTGTGAGTACTTCACCCCAGGAGCCAACTCCTCTGCATTTGGATTTAGACTGCTGTGGATCGCAGAATCTTCTAGAGAGGAATCATCATTGATAATAAGATCATTGAACCGGTCTTGGATTTGGTCCACAGTTTGTGGGAAGTCTTGAACTGGAATAAACTACTCATGTTCTTCCCCTTCAGCATTTCTTGGAAACTGTGGTAGCAGTTATTAAGAAATTATTTTATGCAGATAGAGAGGAAAAGGGGTCCTTGGAAGGTTTTCATCTCTTTTAAAGCATCTCCACAAATGTTTCTTGTCTAGCAGGAAAGCCTGGCTCTAAGAGCCCGGCTGGCAGCCTTTGATATGTGAATGCCAGCCGTTAAAAACTGGGTCCACCCAACATGGCCGTTCCCACCACTGTCCTCTTGCCCTTGGCCGCCCCACATATCCCCGAGTGTGTAGAACATCATGGCACCCTGCATTTGGATATGAAAAGGCTAGAGTAGGAGGGCTAGCTTTTTTTTGTGGTCTACATGAACGACATGCTTGGTCAAACCAATCCCTGAGCCCTGTGCAAATCAGACACCACTTCCTCAAGCCTTTTTATTTACCTGGCTGGTTTCCAGTGTATTTGGGGTCTCCTCTCAGGGCTTTGGAGCCCCCCTCCCTCTGTCTCTGTACAGGGGAGTTTCTTCTTTCTTTTCCCTTCTTTCTTGCCTGTTAAAGTCTCTGCTTCTTACATGTGTGTCTGTGTTGTTTTATCTAATTCAGCATGAGGACCAAGAACCCTGGTGTTCCTCCAGTCATTGGAGCTGTATCAACAGTATTCCATAAGTTCTTCTTCCCATCACTCCTTTTCTATTTGTCTGCTGAATTCTTACTTTTCCATCCACATGTATTTCGCAAATGGATTGTCATCTTTGTGTTACTAGTCACAGCTGCGTCGATGACGCTTGGACTAGCACTGTAGCTACTTTGGTTTTTCAGGGTTGCTGTTGGTGGTTGTTTTAACCTGGTGCTTCCCTGCAGGGATGGCAGCTGGGCTCCTGTCAGCCTCTGTGGATCCACAGGACCCCCACCCCTGCCCTGGTTGGTGTGTGCTTCCCCTGTGGCTCCCTTCTCCAGTGGGTGGCAAGTAATTTATAAAGATACAGTGTACAGCGTTCTAAGATTTTCTAGTTCTGAAGCTTGGAATTTCCTCTCTCCCTCTCTTCCTTCTGTTGAGGCCCCAAAAATGATACCCCAAGTGCGGTGTTTTGATATACTGTGTACTTTGAACTAAACAAATGACCTCAAGACCGTGCTCTCTCTGATCTCCCCTCACCCCGTCTCTCCCTTCTCTTTCTCTCCTAAAGCACAAGGAGAGGCTTTCTTTGAAGTTTCCCTTATCTGACTAAGGGAAGTTTCTCCAGAAGAAATGTGATTGTCATGAACCTGCTCGCTGGGATCCACATTACTCAGAGAAGACTAACTCATATCTCAATAGACGCAAAAGGTCTCCAAACCTAGGCCACCTTGTCTAGGCAGACTTTTCACTTATTCTTTGCAGGCTGATGCCTGAGAGACTTTATCTGTATCAAAAACCTTTGTTCAAGTGCAGTTCCTCCCCCAGCTTGTCGCCACCACCCTCCCGGAGCCTTCAGGTCTCTCTTTCTGTAGCTCAAAATGCTATTTAGGGTTCAACCATCTGACTCTTCTTTGTTTATATTTTGTGAGTTTACTGTGCATATACATGTGATAAATTTGATGCCTTTTCTCCCGTTAATCTGCCTACTGTCAAGTTTATTCCAGAGGCTCAAATTATCAAAACTTCAGGGGTGAGGGGAAGTTCTTTTTGCCCCCTACACTTACTTCTTTCCTTCTCCTTTTATCTTTTAAATCATATTTATGATTATAAAAATATGATAAATATAGAAAATAATATAAAGAAAAAAATTTATTGTGTTATCCAAAATCAACCTTTTAGTTTGTGCAATTCAAGTAAAATCTAATTAGATAAAAAAACTTCAAACATTTTAAAAATTGTGTTTAAAACTTTTTATTATGGAAAATTTAAAACATATATAGAAGTAGAAAGAATAGT